TTCTTGATAATATTGCCTAAAGGGAGCATGTATAAAGTGAAGAGAATTGGGCCTAACACAGAGCCCTGTGGAACGCTGTGACTAACGTCAGTTTGTGTGGAACATTTGTCATTGACATGAACAAATTGAAATCTTTCTGATAAATAAGATTTGAACCAACTTAGCGCAGTTCCTTTAATCCCAATAACATGTTCAAGTCTCTGCAGTAAGATGCTGTGATCAGTGGTGTCAAAAGCAGCACTGAGATCTAAGAGGACAAGTATGGAGACAAGTCCTTTGTCTGAGGCTAGGAGAAGATCATTGGTGACTTTCACCAATGTGGTTTCTGTACTATGATGGACTCTAAATCCTGACTGAAAATCCTCAAACAAATCATTCTTGTGCAAGTGGTCACATAACTGCTTTGCAACAGCTTTTTCAAGGATTTTGGAAATAAATGGGAGATTGGATATTGGTCTATAATTAGCTAGGACACCTGGGTCAAGAGTAGGCTTTTTGAGTAGAGGTTTAATTACTGCAACTTTAAAAGCCTGCAGAACATAACCTGTTAATAGAGAAAGGTTAATCAGATCTAGGATAACTTCATGTGAATCACATGGAGCAGTGTCTAATGTGATCTGTGGTGAGATGACAAATACAGATACGTTGGTACTTGAACTCCTTGAGTTTTTGAACCAGTACATCTGAACACTTAACGCATGACTGTAGAACAGAATGACAACTGTGGTGATTAAGGTCTGATGTGAACTAAATTCAAGCAAATCATCCCAATGATTATTTGGATGTGTTGATTAGGGGAAAGACGTCTTTGTGCAGCCTGGTCGGGATGGGGTCCAGGAGACATGTTAATGATTTAGATGAAGCAATTGTTGAGGTAAACTCAGAGAGATCTGTAGGGGAGAAGTAGTCCAAGTATAAATGAGGTCTCACAGATGTTTCTAAAGCCATTGTAGTAGATGGCACATCTGCGAGAGCTGTGGGAGTGGTCCGACCAATGTTTTCTCTAATAGTTGTGATTTTATTTGTAAAGAAGCTCATGAAGTCATTGCTGCTGAGATCTAAGGGAATGTTAAGCTCAACAGCACTGTGGCTCTTTGTCAGTCTGGCTACAGTGCTGAAAAGAAACCTGGGGTTGTTCTTATTTTCCTCAATCAGTGATGAATAAAATGCGGGTCTGGCACTACGAAGGGCTTTCTTATATGTTATTAAACTATCTTTACAGGCTATGAAAAACTCTTCTGACTTAGAGGAGCGCCACGTATTACACAGGAAGGCTGGAGTACTATCAACAAGATTATCGATTTGTGTGGGAGTAAAGTTAAGGTGGCCTCCTTCCACTGTGTTGGCAAACGGCACTGAAGTAGATAAAGATGGAATTATTTCCTTAAACTTGGTAACAGCATTGTCAGATAGACATCTGCTGTAGTGGAATTGTTTCCCACATAGAGTATCATCTATTAATGGAAATTCAAAAGTTATTAGAAAATGGTCAGACAGAAGAGGGTTATGGGGGAAAACTTTTAAGTGTTCAGTTTCGATGCCATATGTCAGAACAAGATCAAGAGTGTGATTAAAACAGTGAGTGGGTTTATTTACAGTTTGAGAGAAGCCAACTGAGTCTAATAATGAACAGAATGCATTGTTGAGGCTGTCATTGTCGGCATCTACATGAATATTAAAGTCGCCTACTATGATTATTTTATCTGTACTAAGCACTAAATCAGACAGAAAGTCTGAGAATTCACTTAAAAACTCTGAATAAGGAGCAGGTGGACGGTATACAATAACAAACAGAACAGGCTTTTGAGTTTTCCAGTTTGGGTGTGAGAATGTTTTACGTTGTTGCATGTTTTTTGTTGTTGTTTTTTTTAAGCACAGGTGTGTAAAACAAAATGTCATGACCTTTTTGTCATGACAGTGAACACAAACACATACACACATTTAAAAAAGCTTCGGGGGTGTTTTGAGGGATGTTGGTGAGGACACCCTCTGGTAGCCAGCGACTGTGAACAGCTCAGTGTGTTTCTAACAAATGTAACCATTCTGATTCACTGAGGAAGGTCCAACCCCCACAACCCAAACATTAGACACAAGTGACCAGGTCCGCATTTTCCACTCAGACATAAACTGAGTCTGTATAGGGATTAAATGTAACCTGAGAGAACTCAAAACCACCTGATACATGATCCCCTAGGTGTCGAAGATGGTGCCTGTGCACTGAAGTGTGTCACAGATCATTCCCTCTTTCACTCATTCACGGCTTTCAATCACTGACAGGTGGACTTATTATGGTTTGGACTTAGTAAGAGTCACACACTGGAAACAGGCTGCATCTGGCACTCTATAGCCACACAACTTTCTCTGTCCTGCTTGT